TTTTTTGCAATTGTAAATGATTATTGCCGAATAGATGGAAAGAAGAAAGGAAGATAAGACGTGCACAGAGTTGAGTTTCACAATTTTATGAATGCTAGCTGGCTACACTGTAAGCTATTTATTTCACTTGCTAACAACCTAACAAAATTAATCAAACTAAATTTGAAATTTTAAACAGAAGTTGTGTTTCCGTTCAAAGTCAGACTAAATTAATTAATAAACGATTTGGCATCAAATGCTAGCAATTGACTTCTACCGAAAGAGTAACTTAAATTTCAGAGCTGAATCAACTTTAGTACAACTTTAGTGATTGAATCGATTGTGATAGCCCAGAAGATCAGCTGGAAAGTGATCGAAGAAAGAGGACTGGATGGAGGAGGATAAATGTGAAGAGTAGCGATTGAGCAAAAATATTTCATCATTCACATATCTTTTCTTCACTCAACGACCGCCGAAGCACGTTGAAATGATAATGTAAAATTGATAAAACGAAATCGATTGCATACGCAATGTGTTTGTTATTTGTTATTCTTTGTTTTTTTTCTTGATGAAATACGATGGACAGATAAGAAGTTTATTAGTAACATTTAACGAACAATACCAATCTAACCAAGCAAACAACAAACCGATCGCAAACTCTTATTCCATTTCATAGCAACAACAGCAACAATAATAACAGGTGAGGATACAGGTAGAACAATAACGAATACAGGTAAACTAAAGGACAAATGAAAAACGACTGAGAATTGCGACGTCACTGGATAGTTTCTCATTCGGTCCACATATCGTTCACCTGCACACATTTGATTCATTTGATTATTGCCATGTATTTCTTCTCTACAACACCTTGTCATTGTAGACGATCGTTACACGCAGGCAGATGTCGCTCATTAAAAACATCGTTGATATGAAGTGCATTTTACTTTTGCTTTGCAATCACCTTGAAATAGCGAAAAGATAACGAAAAATCAATTGAACAAACGTCCTTTGTGACCGTACTCAATGAATACTCGAAGACAAATGAAATGAATTGCACGAACTTTTCAAAGAGTTGTCGAATTTCGATTTCAAGTCCAGTTTAGTGCAAGACATTCATCAGATTGATTAAATGATTTGAGAAGAAAAAAAAGTTATTTCGATACACAATATGTCATCAGTAGTTATTTCGAGATGTACACAATGCGTGCTGTTTATAGACAAAGAATCAGATCTTCTGCATCTCAAATGTCGGCGGTTGTACTTTGCAACTGGTTACACTCTAATGCGATGCTGACATCTAATTTGATCTGCATA